ACATGTATATATACACCTATGTATTGTCCTCATTAGTGACTGTGGTCTGCTAACCGTAGCAAACTCTGCTTTTCACAGTGCATACACCACATTTGTGCCTTGTCAGCATTTGACAGACTGAATCTGCCAGTGGTGGATACTGGAGTTGTTTTCTCTCATTTAGGCTCTGTTCTTTAGTCAATCTTTTTCTTGCAAAATTGTGATCAAATCGCTGTTCCATGTCCAACCATAGTGTTGTGGCTGTGTGTGCTCTAAGTTGCATTGCCACACGGTCTTGAGACCTAGTAACACTTGGAGCCACTGTCTTTGTCTTTGTTCAAGCTCTAGGCTGACCAAAATTAATGAGAAACAGATGAATACAGTTTTATTAATTCATTAATATATGGAGCTGAAGAAATTTAAAGATTCAGATTAATCTCCTATTATTAATATTATTTTTCTAATTGCTGGAAGCTTCTTTTGGGATGTACTGTGTGTTTCTGTGGGGACCTAACCTAAGTTAGGTGCCTGAAGTGAACTGGCTGTGATCAGAAACTAGCCTGTGATTTAGGTCTCTTCACTTAAGTAGCACTCTTAATTTAATTAATTAATTCAGGACCCTTTTCCCAACCTCTTCGGGCACAACCACCTTCCTGCTCTAACTTTTACAGCGTTGGATGTGGGGGCCTATGGCAGGATGTTAAGGAAGAAAAAGTAAAGAGGTATTAAGCCACCCAAAGCAGAAGTATAGCAGTCGTGTCTGCCTGCAGGCATATGAAGAGATCAGCAAGTACATCTTTCTTAGACACCCAGGCAGGCAAACATCTCTGAAACACGGGGGCATGAAACTGCTGCCGTGGCATCCATCATCCTGTGGAGGACAGTGAAAACATGTGCTGTCATCTTTGACATTTTAATTGAAAAGAAAGCTTACACAGGTTTCAACCTTAAGCAGTGTGTTTATACAAGTGTATACAGAGAAATAATCTGTCAGTTCAGTGCAGGCTCATTGCTATAGGAGTTGGTTTAGTAACTGAACAATCCAACATTAGCTCACACACCTTGCCTTGTTCCATGCTTCAATAATTTTTAGTAGAAATACTTTGCCTAGAGGCATGCAGTTATTAAAAAAGAGGCTCAGCTTGCTTATAGTCTGGAATTATTAGCTCATGGTAACAAGCCTGCACTGGAGAAACTGTTGGTTCTTTGTTTTCATAACTTCGCTGTAATTCACCGTCTTATTTTCAGACACAAACTTCTGCTTTGTTTGGGAAGTTTAAAAAAACAAAAAAGAACAAAAAAAAGGAAAAATAAATAGCTTCAAAAATATTATTATTTTTCATTTTTATTATAAAGAGGATTTACAAAGTTCTTTTATCTTAGTATTTCTATTAAATTGCACTCGTCCAAATAATAAGGGCAAATGGAAAGAATTTTGAGAAATTTATTTTGCCTCATTTCCAGTATAGGGATCTGTTGATAGTGGGTAGTCAGCAAGAGCTCTCCAAATACCCTCTCAGCCCTTTAAGAGTAAAAGGTGTTTTTACTCCATCCTTTTTGCAACCTACTATTCTTTTCAAATGCAAAGTTATGAAGGTCAAATAAAATCCATTTGTACTACTGTAACATGTTTGTGAAAGCAGTTACTTGAGCAAATGAAGACTCCAGCACCTTTAGATAGCACAAACCTGGTGGAAGTTACTTGCTGTTCAGTTGTCACTTTATCTGGGTACTGGGGTTAAGTTTCTTTCCAGCTATTTAACCTGTTGATATTTTTCCTCAATGAGCCTCAAATTTTTCACATTTCCTTGCATTTGCCCTGCCTTTAAAAAGAATGGTCATGTTAGAAAGTGTTTGTGTAAAGCTTTATTGCTGTTACTATTCCTGGTTTTAAGTCAGCTGCCGTTTGGTGCATTTGTGTATTTTTGCTACCTTTTTTCTTCCATGAAAACTGATACACCTTTATTTGTGGTGCTGCATAATCATGGGTTTTCCCAAATAACTAAGCTTGGTTCTATCTGAGCTGAGAGACCATAATGGCAGCGGAATCAGTTTGACATCGTTGCTTGCTTTTATGATCAAATCATGTTTATGCTGCAGTTTTTCAGTTTTATTCATTTTTTTTTAAATTTTATTGCAAGAATGTGTTTTTATATGGGCTAGTTCTTTATAATCCCTTGAACCTGCCTTTTGCAGTGTTTCCCTGTTTCACTTTAACTATGCCATTATCCTTCACGTATCATTTGTGAGTTCCAGCTGTGTGCATAACACTATGCAGAACATAAACTTCTCTGAGGAGGTTATAGTCTAAGAAACTATTCTAACATTTCTTATTTTTCTTGTAATGGGTCAGGCAATAAGACCCAGTGAAATATTTAGAGGGAAGAGAAGATTGAAACCAGCAGTTTCTAAGACCTGTAAGAGCCAAAAGGCAAATGTTAATGGGTTCTGTGAGGCTTCCAAGGACCTGCTGGTCCTTGTACTTATGCTGAATTTGCAGAGGTTTCTTAAACATGTGTTCAGGAAATATAGGTGGCATTAGCACAATTGGAGCTTCTAAAGGCAAGATTTATCATTGACTAAATCCTTAAATAGAGTTTGGCCCACTAAATACATGACATGTCTGCTGATTTGTGTGGCTTTACTCCTACAATCTTGGGTGAAAAGTATAGAATTCTTAACAAATTTGGAGTCATTTTGCCACAGGTTTACAGTATTTTACTGTACATATATCCATTCTGTCTTTTTTTTTTTTCTTTTTCTTCTTCTTCTTTCCCTTCAGTTAGGTGTTCTGTCCTTGTGAATTAAAGCAAGGGAGCAAGAATGCATTTCTGATGGAGTTGCTTTGCTCCCAGTGAACAACTTCTCCTCAAGTGGCATCGAGGGATATGTGAATTGAGAAGTAACATCTCTTTTGTTGCTTTTGACTTTGTCCGTATCATTTCATATCTCTATGCTGCTTCTTGCTCCTTTTGTGATGCTTGTTGCTGAATTCCTTCTACCTCTGTGCCAATGTATAGCTTGTTATCTTAATTGTGCCAGCTCTTCTGAAACGCTTACATAGGCTTTCCCTTTACTTCCGAATCAAGCTTTTTGTCATTAGGACTTTTTGCAGCTTAACCTTATCTTATCTCAGTCCTCCAGTTTCTCATTACAGTGTCAAGCATCACTTTAACTTTGCTAGTGTCTTTACCATCAGCTGGTTTCTCTTTCCCAGGGTGAAATCTCTTCTTGTCCAACACTGGGAAAATACCTTAAGGTAACACTTAGATGAAAATATATGCACACTCCATTAAAAAATCTCTACAGAAAGCATAGCTTTGTCTGGATGCTTCCCAAATCCTCTAAGTTATGAGCCACAGTTTTCCCTCTCTAGAGTGTTGCCCTTCCTGTGTCTCAATCTTAGTTACTCCCTTCCTCTTGCAAACTTCCTCGGTCCTGTCATTTCTGAGCAAGCCAGTTAAATAAAAAACATACAAAGAAACAAAAAAGCAATCAGAGAAGTGCCTCTAAATTGTTTTCAGTTCTTTAGCATATTTATTTGCTTATGTGTTCTGTCTCTGTCTTCTACTTTGCATCAGGTTTGTGTCGCTAGATTGTAAACACGCTGTGTAAGAATTGTCTCTTATCTGTGTTTGTACAGTGCCAGGCTCTATGGTGTCCTGGTCCTGACTGGGACCTTTGGGCACCATCACAGTATAAATGTCTGCTACTGATAATAATAATCTACCCACATCATGCAGATGTCTGAATTGTCTGAGAAATGCAAACAAGGATCTTTACTAGGTTGGCAGGGAGCCATGAATTTTAGGTGCCAGTTTTCTTTTCCCCTGAATACGGTTTGGCTCTTTGAAAAACCTGGTGACACAAACCTCCCACTTCTTGGAAAGCTTGGCTGTCTTGTGATGCTGTGATTAAAACATCGTTAAACATGGGATACAGCAGGTCAGGTGAGGTCCCATGCAACTATGCGAGATATTCCAAGTGCTTGACTGATGCTTTGTTGTTGCTTTCCTTTGTGTTTATTTTTTCTTCCCTCCTTTGAATGACAAATAGATAAGTTGAAACTAGACAGAACTGCCCTACTTTTGGGGGCAAATAGTGGGCCATAAATGAGAAAAGCTCTAGCTGGATTGATAGGCTTATGTAATGGCACTGGGGTTCAAACAACAGCAGAGCAGCAGTAAGTGAGGCAGCCACTCCAGCCAGAACACTTTTCTCAGATTGAAACATCCCCTCCATGTCTTTGTCCTTTAATTGATTCATTCAAATATTGAAGGCCCAGGGCAGCATTTGGACCAGGTACTCTGGCTGCAGTAGCTGCCATAGGAGCAGTTTGCAGCTTGTCCACATGCTCCAGTGAACTTACTTTTTAGCAATGGAAGGTTTAATTGTGACAGTACCTGGATGCCAATGAGACATTCAGAGGGTAGACTGTAGCCAACTGTGGTCATTCTCAGTATGTAGGCTACTTGGGTGCTTCAGCCTGAAAGTGACCCAAATCATACGTGTATTCCTTGAAAGGAACCAGGCTGCTTGCGTGCAGTGATTGCTCCTCATTACATTGATCGTAGTGATATTGCTGACTTCTTCACCAGTGTCTGCCTGTTGCTTCCACTCACTCTCCCTCATTCTGACCTTGATCTACAAGTGTTTTGGGGCAGGACCTCACCCACAATTTTAAACCAAAGCTTCTAGGCACTGTTGTAATATATATGTGCATAGATAGATATAATAGATATAATAGATATATGTAATAGATATTATTAAAATGATAAAAGTCTGGTCAAGTGTGGAGTGTGGTGCAGAAATCCCTCAGCCAGTGCTGATCTGGCATGCCAAATTGACACAGCACAAACAGTCACCTGTGGCTGCTCCTGTGTGAGCTGGCTGGGTCTGAAGGCTATAGAAAGTCAAGAGTTCCTTTGCTCCAATGCAACACAATATTCTTCTGGCTTGACTTTTTCCACACCAAAGCTAACTGAAGTGGAACAGACTAGGTTGTGATGTACATATTCTCGATGACCTTGCATGAATGCTACATGCAGGGGAGTAAGGACAAGGAGAGAGTTCATGGTAAGAGTGCTTTACCATAATAGAAAACATACTGCAGTGATACTTTAAATAGCATCAGGCCTTTTGCACATAGCCCCAAATGGTCTAGGTTAGTATGAACCGACACTCATGAGACCTCAGCAGCAAATTGTCATCTGCAGAAATTGTCTTTGAAGACTACAAGTTAAGGGAAGCCTAGCCTTTTAATAGACAAATGCAGTGTTTAGTCATCAGCCTATCTAGAAAACTGGGTCAGATACGTGTTGCATCATATCAGACAGAGTATTTGGTATTAATCAAGGAGGCACATAGTGAAGTATATATCATACATATTTGATTACATTAGTGGAGTTATCTTTAATCATTGGGTAGGGTCATATGATGGAACATGATCGAGTCACCATGGCTTAGAAGGGTACCACCCATCTGTTTAAATGTTAGTAAGGATGAGTCATGGTGTTAGCACGACCGTGCAGAGGAAGGAGAGCCAATGTGGTCAGTTACAGCAACTTGGCTAACATGTGGTATTTTACTAAGCCACTGAAATGCTATCCATCCAGGCCACATACACCCAAAGAGAGAGTGCACAAATGCTGGCCGAGACCCCATCATATCCAACAGGAGGCTTCTGCTGGAACACAATGAAAATTCTTAAATTTGGGGAAAATCTCATGGATGGCTGCTTTTTCAGTGAGGTTGAGCATGTGCCAGTTCTCTATCTTATCTGTCCTTTATTTGTGGGCTGTTTGCCCAACAGCCCTATTTATTTAGCAACACAGGTGCCAAGGAATGAAAATCCCACATTCAGCAATATTGACTGACAGGCTGCAGGCAGCACCTCCTCAGCATTTACAAAGAGAGGAGCAGAATTATGTGTCCAACATTAAAAATAACAATTATAAACTCTCACTGACTTTGCTGCAGGATAGAAAGCAACAAAAGAGGTTGTGTTGTCCTTGGAAGAGGAAGAAATGTCTTAGACAAATCGAGTATCTCAGCCTGTATGGTCCTGTGCCATACACATTCCCTGAGCTTTGTGAGAGTGAGTGCACATGAGCATATGCTAATCAATGACCAGTATTCAATGCAGGAGGAGTGGAAATATCCATGAGTCCTGGCCAATGTCGGTTTCCCCGATGGGTAGGGAATCTGGTGTGCATTATGTAGCGCTTTTATTGGTGGCAGGAGTGCTGCAGGTTTTTCAACAGAGGGTCAACCTTGAAGTGCAAGGTTTCTCTGACTGCTCTGCACCTCTTTGCAAAAACACACATGGGAACAGACTAGCAGGAGTGTAGCAAGAAAAAATACCTGAAGTTTTGAGGATCTGAGGATTATTTTCCCTCTAGCTAAGTGTAAAGCATATGCAGACCCACAAAATGAAGCAGCGTTAAAGGTAAAACTGGAGACAGCAAGGAAGCTTCTTTGCCATTTTAATAAATACCAATAATTCCCTTTTGCCCAAGTCCCAGATTCCCAAAGTCATTACAGCAATTTTGGAAATTTTTTTGGCTCTGGAACATATAAGCAAAACTCAAACCATGCAGTCTCTTGAGAATCACTTGCACAAATTGTATAGGTCAGGCCAAAATAAGTTTCTGTCAAACAGCCTAACACCTAAGCTTATTATGAAACTGGTGAATTGTACAAAGGGTCTGAATATGGGACACTCTCAGAATGAGTAAAGTGGGGGGCTGGGCTGTTGTCATGGTACATGTTTTACTTTGGCCCCACTGAAAACTCAGGTGGTATTTTTATTGAATGCATTGCTCTGGTTAGCCAGAGCAGTTCCTGTAGACTGTGTCTAAGCTGGTGGACCCAGAGGACTCCAGAGCTCCAGTGGGCAGGTGAGTGCACACCTCAGTCTTGTCACAGGACAGGCATGAGAGTGCACTAGCACTTTCTCCTTTCCTGTCCACTTCTCTCTGCCTGCTCTCTGGGAGGAAACCCTGTGTGTGACCCCATCAGGGGTTGCAGCACACTCCATTCTGCTCCTCAGATGCCCCAACCCTTCTGTCTGGCACGTAGACTTTGAAAGTATAAGATAGAAAAGACCTGTTTGAGCTTGTCTGCTGCTTTGCAGGGCAGTAGTTTTGGTGAGAATGTGCCAGTGGGAAGTGGACCCTGCTTGTGGGGGTCACACAGCCTCTGAAAAACAAACTGAGATTGCTCTCCTTCTCATATGCAACCTGGTATCTCCTCACTTTTTGTTTGCAAAGGAGCACTGAGTCTGCTTTCTGTGCTATTTTCACCATGTCCTAAAGTTTTGTGTGAATAAGTGCTGGTGCATTGGCCAGATGTGTTTAAGTGGACAGTAGGATGGGTCAGGGGCTGAGTACTTTAAATATATTTTCTGAGCTCATTTTTCCTCCACTACATCCATTCCACTTTTTCTACCTCCATGGCTCTCCAGGCTTAGCCTTGTGCTGAGCTGACTGAAGAGTCCCCTATCCCAGATGCTCATTCATGCTCCCTCACAGTGCTTATTGCACCTGCTCACAAGATTACACCACACATTTGGAAGATGTTGTCTTGAATTTCTTTGGGGTGAAATGAAGATGTAAGTACATCATATTCCTCCATCAGCAGATAACCAGTGAGGCATAGGAACAGCTTCTTGTCTGTGTCTGAGATACATTTGTTGTTGTTTTGGGGTTTCTTTTTTCCCCCCTTCTGAATAAGTACTGTATGTGTCTGGGAAGATTTTTAAAACATTCTTCAAAACACAGGCTTTTTCTCTCAATGGAGAACCAAGACAAAAGGATGAGTTCTGTTGTGTGCAGCTGCTGAACAGGGGGCAGCTGAGGGCAGAGAGGTGGGAGGAGCAGGGTGTCCGAGTACAAGGGAGTTGGCAGGGCAAGGACTTTGACGTGGCATTTGTTGTGACAGAAATGTTTCTGGGGCAGTGGGTTTGAAGAGAGGAGGGTTGAAGGACTGCTCGTCCAAGGATGGGAGACACTGGGGAGTTTTAGGGAAGAGGGGATTAGATGGTTTGAGCTCTGGACAAGAGAGAATGAGACTTGTAGGTCAGACAAAGATGGTTTTGCCATCAGACAGGCACCTCCAATTTGGGACCCTAGATGTGATGCCTTCCATACTGCATATCTGTGAATCCCAGTGCTTGCAGTCTTTGGCTTTTTTGTTGTTGTTAGACAACTGAAAGTGACAGCTAAAGTTGGAGGAGGGGTGTATGTATTCATGATTGCCAGTACCACTTACAGTTGGAGGGGCAAGATGTAAAGCCTCATCATTTGGTGTGACACAGTTCAGATCAAGTGGGATAAACAACTGTCTTCCTCCTTGCAACTCTACTTCCCTGACCAGCTAAGCCCAGTTTTGAGGCTTTCATGGCTAGCTGTGGACTCATCACTGAAGCAAAGGATGCTTCTACCAAGGCTGAAAATCAACCCTGATGTTTAGAGTCTAGACTCTTTCCATGCTCCCCCCTGCAGAAGCTCTTCAAGGTCCCAAATTATGCACCCTTCTCTCCTGTCCTTCTCATACCTTTAGGGGTAACTCTCCTTCCCAATAAACAGTGTAAACCATGTGCTACAATGCAGAGCATTCTGTTCTCTGAGAATTTATCATACCTACTTGTACTAGCAGTGTTCATTGAGGTACTATATGCTAAAGTTTTCTTATTTTCAAGCTTTTTGAAAAGGTAACAAGTTATACTCACCCAGAACTTCAAGCAAGTCACACCTTCTTCAAAACTAAAAAACCCCAAACCAATAAACAGCTGATTAATTTAACTTGCAAGACCACATTCTTAAAGGCTGTTTTCAAAGTGGAGTCCCAGCTTTGTTTAATCCATTAATTTTATGATTCTTCTTTGTGAGCAGGCCTGCTTTCTCACATGCACTCTTTTCCCTGTGCTGTACTTAAAAAAATCCTTCTAAATCTTTTGAATCCCTTTTGCCAAAATATCTCAACTCTGCTTTTTATAGCCTGTACATTTTGCCTTTACAAGCTGCTTAATCTGAATGTAATTTTCTTAATTTTGTTTCTCTTTTTTTTTTCTTTTTCCATTTTCTGTGTCCTGGTGACATGCTAAGTGGTAAAATTAGTAACCTCTCTTCAGAAACAAAGCTTGGTAGTGTTTCACAGGAGAGAATATCACAAGCAAGATGAAATACTCATTTTAGAATAGTTTATTTACAGATGATGAAATTTCAAAATTAATTTAAGGGTGCTTAATTTTCTGCCATAGTCTCCAAAACTGTCATCCAGATATTTTTGATCCCTAGGGCTGAATTTACAGCAGTGCACTGATGTAGGATGCCAGGAAATTTCCATGCTTTATCTGTAGAAGTCTATTGCTGACCACTGTAAGATGCAGAGGTGCAATAGACTGAGACCAGCTGATACATTTACATTCATGTTCCATCAAATGAACTATACTGGTGCTTTAACCGGTGAAGAGCAGAAGGAAGGTGATTCATCTGCTTCTTGAAAACTTTCTGTTCCACTGATTTATGCAGGAGAGGACAAATCCTGGATTGGTTCATCTGTGCCTACTTGTCTAGAGCTGCCTGTGCCTAGCAATGGCTGGCATGGTAAGGCTTGTTTTGGTCTCTGTATGTAGCCCATGACAGGTTTCTTTTCTTTTCTCTTAGGCCTGTCCCAGGTTCTCTGTCTTCACTACTGCACCTACACAACCGACAAAGACAGCCTATGCCTGCCTCTATGCCTGGCACCCTGCCCAACCCTACCATGCCGGGATCTTCTGCTGTACTCATGCCTGTAAGTTATTTGGTTTAGATTTTTGTGTTGGGAGGAAGGTTGTTTGTTGTTTGATTCAATATATAAAGAGGTGAAATTCTGCTAGATTTTCTTAAAAATCAAAGCGTAATGAATTAAGTAAGCTGGACCTTTTTAGGGTTTCATCTTACACAGGAGTATTTCTGATGCAGTTAATGGCAGGTTAATTGGTGTGAGAGTGATTAAAAGCAGTTTATATGAGACTACAGTTTCTGGTTCTCACACTTGGTCTCGTAGGTGAGATCACTATGTCTGTGCTGGAACAAAAAGATTTTTCTGAATTCAGACAAAACTGGAAAAGCTGTGTCCATAAGTCATATCAGTGAACTCTAAGTGATCCTCTTGTTTGTGCGAGATAGCCAGCTAACAAGAAAGAAATGTGACTTACTTTTCTGACCTGTCAGCTTGCACTTATTTAGAATTCAGTCATGATCACTGCTCATCTTTCTCTCATTTCTGCAGGGATGGGAATATTTCCCATCCAGTGGGAGCCAAAGGGGTACTTTGCAGTTATAGCTTCAAATTCTTAAATGATTTTAACAACCTTTTCAGTATAAGACCTTTGGGAAGATTATGGATGCAGAAGAGTAAGGTTGACATGGGAAAGAGAGGATGGGGAAAGGAGAAGTTTCTGTTTCATTTCACTGTGTTCGGTTTGGAAGATAACCTGAGAACGATTGACTATGAGGGAGGAAAGTGCTGCTTGTTCTGGCTTTGCTATCAAGGAGGACACTTCACAGGGATACAAAGATTCAGGTCTGGCTGCTATTCGAGCAGTCATTAATAAGTTATTAATTAGTAACTTGTCAATAAGGGTCTCCTCGAATATCGACCAGGAAGTTACAAAATAGACGTCACCGTGGGCAGTTTTTTTTCTGGCCTGATTCCCAAGGAACCTGAAGTAGAGCAAACATCCAGCAACAATATAAGCTCAGTGGCTTTGGGCTGCTGGTAGGGAACCCTTTGGGCACCTTTACTTGCAGACAATCAGGTGTGCTCTGCCTGAGAGCCCCAGAGATGTGAGCATGGAATCATGATACACCCTATCAATGCTGGCTGCCATGGCTACACCTCCTGCCCCACAGCCCTCCTGAAAGGGCTGCAGGGGAGATGGCAGTGGGAGCTGCTTCTGCCTCATGGAGAGAGGGTAAAGGGCCCTGGCAGAGGCAGCTTCTCCCCCACAGCAGGCAGTGGGATATTGATGCTTCCTAAAAGCCCAGCACCCATTCTTGCAGGCATCATGGAGATTGGGACTCAACCCCACACCACATGGCACTAAAAATTTGCTCCCCTTCTTGGAGAGCTCAGAAGGATCCAAAAGCCCCTTTTTTTCTAAGAGCCAAATATTTGGGAGACTGGCCCAAAGCAAGGCAGGATGCTCAGCCCTGTCTGAAAGCAGTACCATAACCCTGCTTACCACCCCTGCCAACGCCTAGCAGTGTATGGGACTTGCCTCTTTTTGGGGAACACACTCCAGGAAATTATTTTATACAGGACTTACTGCCATTAGTTTTTGTTTGAAAGTTGTACCCCTTGCTTCCAGCCTAGTGAGATTAGCTTGCAGAAAGGGCTCTGAATAGCCAGGAGGAGTTCTGCTTTGTTATTTGCTATCTCAGCAATGCATGAAAGCTTCCCTTACAAGACATATGGAAAACTCTTCTCAGCTGAGCAGTCTGAGTGAAGGAAAATGAGCCAACTTGTTTTCCATATGCTCGAGATTGTAGATTTTTATTTATGCTTTTAACAAGCTAAGTTGGGCAGCACTGGCAGGGGAAGCTACAATTTTATACAGTGATGCTTTTAAAACCACTTAGCTCTGAGTGTTGTTATACTGAAAAGGAGAAAATCATTACAAAAAAGCACAAACCTGGGTGGCTGCTACATTTGTTTATTGAAGAACCCTTTTCTTTATAATTGGCCGTGAGTTTTCAGGGCCGATTCTGATGAAACACACGCCTGCATGCGTACACACATGCAATTCACGACACAGATTGTTATTTTTCCAGTCATGACTTGAAGAAATAAAGCTGAGTCCATTTAAATAGAAACCGAGAGTAAATTCTTGCATATGTCTCCAGATGTTTTCAAACCTTTTTTCCCCCCTTTTCCTTTTAAAAGATGGAGCGACAAATGTCAATGAACTCCAACATCATGGGGATGCAGGGGCCGAACCTCAATAATCCATGTGCTTCACCTCAAGTCCCCCCAATGCATTCAGAGGCCAAAATGGTAAGAAAATAATTTGGTTTTTTTAAATTACTGTATTTTCTCATATTGCTCTTGCACACCAGTTACCCAGACAGTGGGGGGATGTAGCCAGACACTGCTTACTTCATTCTTAGTCATACCTTATACTCTTTTTTAACACACTGCAGTAAATTGCTTCTGTGTCTATGAACTTTCAAGATGTTCCTAGTCCAAACTGAACTCTCAGCAAGAGGGAACTGAAGGGTGTGCTATCAGATCCAAACTGTTTTAAATAGGATTTTTGGTGTAGATTAGTAGAATTTAGGCAAATGGTCTGGTTGTTTCTCTAATGGTGTCTGCGCTCCACAACTTGACTTAAATAAAATTATCAGTTAATAAAGAGTGCAGTAAAAAGTGATGTGGAAGGAGTGCACACAGTCCTTGTTTTTTCCAGATAGAAGCATGGTGTATCAGGGTAACGGCAGAGCTAGAGAAGCACGGCAAACAATACATACAGAACTGAGATATTTTCTTTTTCCAGAGTGCAACAAAGGTGTTGCTATCAGAAAGAAGTGTCAGAATTTGGACAAATGTATTTTATTTATAAAAGTTGAATATCTTAACAAAAAAATGAAAATTTTTTAAAAGTTGAAAGTTGAATATCTTAACAAAAAAATGAGAATTTTTAAAAAGTTTTTCTGCGTCTTACAAGGTCAAGGCTTCTCAGGCATATGTACTGGTATAGGATTAATGTAGGTAAACTAAACTACAGGTGGGCATCTGTAAGTTTTCCCCAGCTTTATATGCACTTTAATGGAGGTATTCAGCACGAATATCCTTGGAATTGAGTTCATCAATGTAGAAACAATTAAGCTTTTTCAGTTTCAGAACTGCCATTTGCTGGCTAGTAGAAATCTGGGGACACAAGTTTTTAGTAGGGTTATTATCCTCTCAAGATATCTCTTCATAGTGGAAAACAGGAGTAACTTCATTGAACTTCTTTCAGTGGCATTTTGCCAAGGTAAAATTGTCATAAGTAAGAGAATGAAATCAAGCCAACCAAGATTAAGCAACCACATGTTTTTATGTATTTCTATTTTGCATCACTGGTACAGCTTTTAAAGTTGCTGTCTTCTATCCTGAGGAAAAAAAATCTTCATGTCAGTAGGTATGGTGCAGGCAGAAGATTCTGGGTTAAGAGCAACAACATACATGAGCTTATTCTACCTCTGTTTTCTTAGATTGGATAGGTCATGCCTTCACCTCACTGTTGGTCTGGGTTAGGCTGTTAACCCAACCTCTGTTAACACTCCGTCTAAAACCACACTCCGTAAACATGAAGCCAGTTGGCCAGAAGAAGAGCGATAGCCAACAGTGCTGGCTCCCCTAGCCAAGGAAAACCTGTGGTCAAGAGTTCTCTCTCTGCTGTACCACACAGTGACGGTGACATGCCAAATGGCAACAGCATCTGCAGCAGAGCTTGTTAAAAACTTTTTGGAATAGGCAAGTGTTCTTTCAATGCAAGTGTAGCTGAGCCAAGCTAAATACTCCTTGGCTGAATAAATCCAAAACTGGCATCTGTTTTGGGGACTAAAAGTTCTGTAGTTTACTCTCCCCCCACACTCCCTGCCTCTTTTTTACTGGAAGTGTGAGGCTACTTAAGAACAAGATTAAATTATTGGTGCATATGGTGAGAATTCTGTGCTTTAATAACTGAAAGTGTACATTAATACAAATGACTTTCTAACCTGTGTATGCAGGTTTTGTCCCTAAATCTAACGTATGAAGGCATGGTTCCTTCAGACAGAAATTGCTATCAGTTCCAAAACACAGTATAGTGAATAAGCAGCGCCTTTGCTTCTTGGGGACTTTCTGCCACTCTTCCAGGGGTGGAAAAAGTCTGCACACATTAACTCATAAGAGTAAGAAGCATAATTCAGAGCTCCAGGACCTTTCTTCTTTTCTAATGCAGGTTGTTTTGTTTTATTTTGTTTTGAATATTCTATATTTCTATATTCTGGTTTTGTACTTTGTTTCTGTTTGAGCACACAAGTAATGTGAGAAGCATCTTCATTTAGCCACTGCTTTTTATTATGATTTATTATGATTCTATTAACAACACTCTGCATGAACACAAAGTAGAAAAAATATAGGACATAGTGCAAAATTATTTCTTATATGTAAGTTCATGGACTTTAAATCAGAATCATCTGTATCACAGCTATGTTTGTTCTTACTATTAACTATTTCACTTTTCTTCATGCTCAAAGCACAAGACTTCACTTACTCTGGTGACTTTTTTTAAGAAGTCGAAACCAAGGGTGCTTAGTACCTAACCGGACTGTGTCCTGCATTAGGAAGGAATTTCAGATTTCCCTGGATTCTGCTAATACTATTACTGCTGGTGTATCCAGCACTGCTTATATTCTCTTTGGCTGGCCCCACTCTGAGAAGAATGTATGTGTCAAAACACTAGACAGAGTCGTCTAAGATGCTTGCAGCTAGTGACTGAAGTCATGAGAAGTCTGGGGGAGTTTGGGCCTGATTCATCAGCAGCCCAAATCCGTGGCAGATGGATCAGCAGTTTTTGGGAGCCTACATGAGAGAATGCAGGACAGGCTCCTCCCAGTGTGAGACCCAGATGTGAGACCAAATCCTTCTGGCCTCATGAAAGTGTACCTGAGCAATGTGAGCACCATTTGTTATGCAGCAATCCTAACACTATTTGGTGACACGTGTGAATTAATTTACCTCTGTAAAATGCACATGAGTAAAAAATAATATCAGTATGGATGCTGTGTGATGCCAGTTTTTTTAAACAAAGCAGATAGGTGACAAAAGATTCACACCCTTGATTTGTTCATAATCTGTTTGCAGTAGAAAATGGAAGCCAGTTTGATAAATACGTACATTGGCTGATACACAAGCACATCTACAGACACATATAGAATATATGTTGCATTAATATAATGTTTGTATAATAAGCAATTTATTTATCTTTACCTATTTTAATCAGCTTGTATTACCTGGCATTTATGGGAAGCTACACTCTGGCACCCAAATGCTCATTTCCTGGTTTAATTTTTTCAGGATAATGTTCCTTCAGGTATTAAAGTATTGTAGATGACATCCCAGAATTGATTTAATTTATCACAACAATCTCAGTTTCCCTCACAGTGTGCCTTTCAATTAGGTTATCACCTAATGCTTTAAAACTGTCCTAGTAAATGAATGAGTGAACATCTAAATCAATATTGCTTTCTTCTTAGATTCAGAGCTGAGTGGTTAAAACCTTTACGCTGCCCACCAGAAACGCACATTGATTTTATATTAAAATATATTGCATTGGAAAGAGGAGGAAACATATAGCTCTTAAGTGTACATGGTAAAAATAT